GGGGGGTCCTAGGTGACATTAGGGGTCTTGGAGACCCCTGATGTGTCCATAAAGAGGACCTGTCACATATTTTGCTATCACATAAGGGGCTTTTCTAACCCCCCTATGTGATAGCAATAAAGTTTCCCACCCAAAAATGTAAAGTTACAAATAAAAAAGAATTACATTCTTTTTTTAAAGTCCCCCCCATACATACACGCATGCAATACGTGTGAAAACGACGATTTCGCCCATTACGCCGCACATGTTACATATCGCCGTGAACGTCGGAATGAGAGCAATAATTGTAGGACCATTAATCACTGATAACACTAAACTAATGAGCGGTAAAAGCTTTTAAACCGTACGTGTGAAAACGACGATTTCGCCCATTACGCCGCACATGTTACATATCGCCGTGAACGTCGGAATGAGAGCAATAATTGTAGGACCATTAATCACTGATAACACTAAACTGATGAGCGGTAAAAGCTTTTAAAGCGTCACCTATGGTCAATTTTGGGCATGGTAATTTTTTGCGATTTTGCGGGTGCGCGCAATTTTAAAGCATGACATGTTTGGTGTCTATTTACCCGACGTGACCCCGCTTTTTATATTTTACCAAAAATATGGGTAATAAATGGGTGTGGTTACTGGGGGTGTGGCCACTAAAGGGTGTGGTCACTGAGGGGCACTGTAAAGCTTTCTCGCACAGGGCGCCTAAAGGCCTAAGGCCGGCCCTGTCTGCTTCCATACTATGCGTGGTCACTTTGAAAAAGGAGTGAAGGGAAAATGGCAGTATCACTAAGTATTCCACAGGAACAGAGGAAATAAAAACTTTAGAGGCAAGATTGAATATATGTATACAGATATACTGTACCTTAATTCTTTGGGTATATTGTATGCGTAAAAAATATTGTATACATTAGCCTGAGCCACTGTGTGTGTGTCTATCTATCTATCTATCTATCTATCTATCAATAGATAGATAGATAGATAGATAGATAGATAATATATATAGATATATATAGATATTTCTAATTGAATTCTGAATGGGTAGACCATTTGTTTTGATTGAAGAAATTTCGATCTGCACAATAACCTTTTTCCCCCCCTGATTTTCACAGTTGGATTTCAGTGTTAACAAACAGCAAAGAAGAAGCACTTAACATGGCATTCCGCGGAGATCAGAGCTCTGGAGAGAGCAGTTTAGAGGACTTGACGAAAGCCATCATTGAAGATGTACAGAAAACGCCAGGAAACTATGCGTGCTGTGATTGCGGGTCACCAGGTAACACTTGCATGTAAAGCCTTTTACCAGAGAGCCATACTTTGGGGTGAAATGCTGTAATGCAAACTTCCTGCATTCTGCACAGTTCTGGCTCTGTCTGGCTGCTTTATAATCCCATTATGACCCTGATGATGTCCATCTAGAACAGAACCATGTAGCCAGTATTACATTTGTTCAGGGGAGGATCAGTAAGTGCCCAGTGAGAGACATCTACCTATAGCTGGTTCTATCTCTGGTTGGGGCTGATAAATGCATGGTGCATGTGGTAGGTGAATGGTTGGCTGCCTTTTCTGCCTTTTCTATGAAGGAATGAGAATGCTCAGCAAATGTTAAAGGGGTTTCTCAGCAAAAAAATCTGTGCATGTCATAGATAATATTCACAACCCATGTTCAATCATACCTGGGATTCTTGTATCTCATGGTGAAGTGAGATGTCCTTGCCAAAATGTATTTCTCTTCCGTTTATTGAAGGACACTTGACTGATGGGTTATGGTGCCCCCTACAGGAGTATGTCACTAGGCACAAAACAAAATCACAGCCTAGGGGTGCCTCTCTACCTAGTGTCAAGGAGTAAGGACCTAAGCTCCCTACTTGGGAATGATAGTTCCCTTTCTTCTTCCAGAGAATTATTTTGTAGCCAATAGGCACAGGCAGATTCTTGTTACGTGCGGGTTCGGCTGCAACATCCCTAGCTTAGATTTGGGCAGCATGTGATTTTTTTTGTTTCTCACAGGAAGAAAGAGGGGAGGCATATATGACTGAGTGCCTCGGTTCATTTGCCAGTGTTTCCCTAGACCAGGGGTAGGCAACCTTGGCTCTCCAGCTGTGCTGAAACTACAAATCCCATAAGGCATTACAAGCCACAGGCATGACTCCCAGAGGCAGAAGCATGATGGGATTTGTAGTTTCAGCACAGCTGGAGAGTTAATGTTGCCTACCCCTGCCCTAGACAGACAACTCTGGGGGGCAGTGCCCTGTCACGGGGCAGGTACCCCCTCTTGTCTTACCATGATGTGATAATTGTACATCCTCCTTTCCCCCTTCTCATCCCTGGTTGGCTTGGAGTGGTCTATGGGTACTCTTTTCCCCTCTGATCCTGTGTTGTGTGTCCAAGTGGTGCATGCTGCAGTACATAGTCTATTGCTGACGCGTCCACAATGGGGCAAAGAAGTAGAGACCAGCTACGAAGATGTGACACCTTGAGGCAATGCTAGTTTCGTCGAGGGGGGTGTACTGCATAGGAATACTTACCTTATTCCTCTGTTCTGCTGCAACTTGTGATCTTCTTCACGCCTTCTCCAGCCGTGGAATGGGGCTGGCCCTCAGCACCATCACATATAATGCAGGTCCAGCAGTGGCCGCTGGTACCACATTGTATGTTATGACATCGGTAAGGCACCCACATGACCTGGAGAATAGAAGCCTATTTCCTAATAGGTTGGACTTGATGGACTAATGTCTTTATTCAACCTCAAATACTATGAAAGCGGCTTAATGGAACCGGTCACCAATCAATGAACCAGTAGGGAGGAAGCCTGCAGGACTAAGGATTAAGGTAAGTAATTCTCTCTGTTCAATCCCCCTAGACTAAACTAGCATTAGGCCACTTAATATACAGGGTTTGTGTGAAGCACCCTAATGGCATTTTGTTTGCCAAAGTTTAGCTTTAACATTTCTCTCTAAAAACATTTTCAGTATTTTAAAATTCCTTCGCTTTAATTAAAACAACACCTGTTAATTCTACCACAGTGACAGCGGCTTGTTCAGGCACTTTCTGTTATTGGCTGACAACGCTCTGTCTCCCAGTTTTGTTTCTGTGTTGTCACCTTGTGACATGGGCTTCTGGTGGAGACTAAAAGCCACCATCGGAAGAATAATATATGTTTAGACATAGCAACTGGTTTCTAAATGTAACCTCAGTGTCACAGTGAATAGGTTTACTGGCATTGATGTTCTGTAAATCGTGCTTATTATCCATATGTAAAATTGTACTCCTTTAATAGGTATTTTTATTTTTACCGATGGACAGATACCGCCATCTGGTGGATAAATAGTTTAATACATTTATCTATGTTCGTCACCAGCAAAATAATGAAAATCAGTAGTTTTTAGTCACTTATATATTTTAAAGCCTTACTCTGGGCACGTGGCACAAATTGATTACCCCCCCTCCATATACATAATATAATGCTCATTTTGTCTAGGGGGTTGTAATGGAATAATACTTTACACCTCGGTCTTTCAGCACCCTGCGAGGCCATGGGACAGGGTAAGTATTGTACTTATTTAGATGTGCCCTAGACTGAACGAGCAGTATATCTTGTATATACAGTTAGGGGGGCCATTATTTACTTTTGCTACCGCCATGGAGTTCCAATTCATATTTTGGGTTTATGTTTATAAATTGATGTTTTATTCATTATTTGTATAAAATGTATATTATAGGTATAATTATAATAAATATTTTACAAATAAGCATTTACTTTAAGATGCTTCCACAATACAGTACCAATATTGTAATAAGCAAGCACGGCCTCTTCATTTAATTGATTTATCATGAACATTAAAAAGAATAGGGATGTACCGATACCGATACTAGTATCGGTGCCGATGCAGAGTAGGTAGGTGAGTACTCCGTACTCGCCCAAATGCTCCGATGCCTAGCCCGATACTTCCTGTTTCAGGAAGTCGGGGCAGTACGTCATTACACGCTGTCTGGCTTCCTGGTTGGCCGGGAAGCCGGCTCCATGCTCCCTCATCCGGGATCGCTATAGTACCGGGAAAAAAATATTGGTACTCGATACTGAAATACCGGTATCGGTGCATCCCTAAAAAATACAAGCTAAAAATACCATGAAGGGGGAGGTAGATGTCTCCCTTCTTTGAGTCATTTGGCCTCGTCTGTTATTCAGAACACATTCAGCCTATTCACAGCATATTAGTAAATGAGCCTTTTAAAAAACCGGGATTAATTGCCCAGCTATCACAAGACAGTAAATATGAAGATTGTATTTGCAATGTTTCTTATTTACCTATGAAGAAAAGAAAAAGTTTTTCCGTCATGTACATGACCTTTCAGTAAATATACATACAGTAAGTACTATACATTCACATAAGTAGTATTTAAATGTTATTTAGACTTTCAGAAAACTGGTATTTGCATAGGATTTTCCAGGGTAGCAGGTAGTGGTAAGACCACACTCCAGATATACGGTCTCTTGCTTTGCCTTTTGTCCACATTCGGCAGTGACATAGGTAAGGATCCCGTAGTGTTATGTGTCGTGTGGCTTCATATTTGCCACTGTCAGATGTGGGAAAAGCATAATAAGGTCACAGACCAATGGGGGGATTCAGTAGCTGCACTCATTTACACCGGGCAAGTTGGCTGCATTTTGTTACAACACAGGCAAAATGCATTAACCTGCGAACTTCTATAAGACCCATTTCTATGTCGGGTAAAAGCTTTTGGTTCAGTGCCCTGTGCAGTGCCGTTCAAGTAAATCGGCTTTACAGTATATAAAATATTGTACTACTGTAGGTAGGCCAAGGGAAGATTGTAGGTGATGTGGTTACTTATGTCTCAGCTGGTTCTTTCTTCATATCTACTTTGTCTTATATTTGTCTTTACAGATCCAACATGGCTGTCCATTAACTTGGGGATTTTAACTTGTATAGAATGTTCCGGCATTCATAGGGAAATGGGTGTCCACATCTCTAGAATCCAGTCTCTGGAATTAGACAAATTAGGCACTTCTGAACTCTTGGTGAGTATAGCTTATGATCTAATGGACTCATCATGGGAATTGGTAGCGGACAATAAAAGCTCAGCTGAAAAACCAAGCTAAGCCTTTCACGGCTGTGGACAGGGGGTGTAGGGTAGACGCCTTCAGTGGTGTAGTTTAGTTAGTATTGGGATACCTGCAATCCTTTCTGCTTTCGAAGGCCTAAGATAAAACCTTGGTGGTAGGTCAAGCTTCATGTAGCCACAATTTAGTTCAAGTGAAATATGGTGTAGGAGCATTTACCTTGCTTTCATTGTTGGTCCCTAGCACTTTAGATGCAGAAAACCTGTGGGAAGGGCACAACCTCATCTGATAGATCAGCACACACACTAGCAGTGGTATGCAATGGCAGGAATACTTCCTTTATTCTGATGATTGACCAATGACAGCGACTGGCACTAAAGGAATGAGAGTAAACCGGAGCGAGCAAGTGCTTGTGTGTGGGTGTGAGGTCCCTGCTGCTCTGACATCTAAGGTTTAGAAGCTCAGCTCAGTCTCTGATTGGCATTTTGGCTCCTGATGTATTAAGAAGACCAGTTGCTAGTTTACAGACGAGATGTCTCCATACACAATAAACCTGCAAACAATGACAGTGAATTCAGTATGCTAGTTTTAACTTTAGCATCTAGCATGGTCCAAGGGGCAGATCATCAAGTATGTAGGTACCACATAGGATCAGCAATATATAATCTGTTATATGAAATCTGAGCCCAGATTCTGTTCTGGGAGGGAGCACCGAGACTTAATGAGATTTAATACATTGACAGCTGACTAAATTCCACTGGTGTCCACACCAAACTGAACTTTGAGTCTTGGTTCAAGACTATTATCTGTTCTCACACCTTTTATTTGTATTACAGCTGGCCAAGAATGTAGGAAACAATAACTTCAATGATATAATGGAAGGGAATTTACCCACTCCGTCACCAAAACCTACTCCTTCCAGTGATATGTAAGTAATAAGAAAGAAGGTGGAACGTTCCTAGGTACCACAAAGTCAGCCATTGTGTCCTGTAAGCCAAGGTGCATATAGCACACCGAATTACTTGGAAGAGCTCAGCTTTTTTTTTTAACTAGACCAGGGCTCAAAATTTCAAGCCCTGAGTTACTAGCCAGGCCTTAAGGGCCTGTTCACACGACGTCCGTTTTCTGTGCTGACCTGATCGTACGCTCCTGCACTAAAAATGCATCCCAATGTATCCCGATGTGTTTTATGGGCTACAGTTCTCACGTGCGCAGTCTGTTCAGGTTACGACAGAAAAATACTGCATGTCACATTTTGTACGGTCCGGAAACGCAAAACGCATCAAAAACACACTGCACTGCAGCTAACATACTGACAGCCCCACTCCAGCAAATTTTTTTTTTTTACTGGAACTCATCAAAAACACGGCATAACACATAGCACCGCGTCTGCTGATCCGCACCTGATCAGGACCTGAAGCTCATGTGAACAAGCCCTAAAGGAGAACTATGAGGTGAGTGGAAATCACTCATCCTCATAGTGCGAGCCAACGCGTGACTATGAAACTGTCACACGTCGGATCAATAGATCGGGAAGTGAGCAAACACATACCGTCGCTTGCTCACTTCTCGATCATCTCCCTACAGAGAGTGGTGACTATCAGTCACGGCTCCCTGCAGGGATTCCCCCCCCTCTCTGATCCTCCAGCGCTGACTGGAGGGACGGACGGGGCGGGCACAGCTGCCTCTAGATAGGATGAGCCCGCTGTCACTCATGCACCTGGGTGGATCTCGACAGTAATGTCGGGATCCGTCCTGGCTGCGGCGGTCTCAGTATATAGCGGGCTGTAGCTCGCGATATACTGAGCTTTGGGTCACGGGAGGATGTCCTCCGGTGACCCTTAAGAGACCTATGGGGAAAACACTTACCCCATAGTTCTCTTAAGAGTTACTCGCCACCAGTTGTCCCACCTAACCCCTAACCTGCCCTGGCCTTAACTCTGCCCCTAAACACACTCTCCTAAATGATCTTATGATAATGTTTATCTTATGATAGTTTCCATTTGCAAACGCAAGTACCTGACACAGGGTTCCCTAATCGCACCTGAAATATAGGTGTGAATGGGGCCTAATATATACATACACTAATACAATCCCCAATGTTACCCTGCCCCCCACCCTCCCCTGCACAAATAAAATAATATACTTCCTCCTCACACACATAAAATGATACATTCCCCCTATTCCAAACTCCCCCCGCACGCATAAAATAATATGCTCTCCCCCCACCACACACATATATTAAATAATAGAAGGTGCAGACCTTACTAATCCATGCTTTCGGGCCAGAGCTCAGGACTGTCAGAACGCCAAAAGGATCCGAGTGCCGGAGCAGCTATGCAGTTTGCATTCGACAGAGATGCAGATCGTGTAGCTGCTCTCAGAAGTCAGGTACGCTGAGTCGACAGCCGGCTGCCGGCCTCATAGTAGCGGTTCCAGAGTTGGCCTGCAGGCTGGTACTTTGGGACCCCAATTTCCATTCGCCCTCACTTTATTTCCACTCTCCAAATGCGAGTAGGAGAGTGGAAATTTTCGGCCCTGCACTAGACTGTTGAGACTGGTGCTTGCACAGTTATCCCACCCCACTAATCTGTGTGTAAACTTTTCCACAAAGTAAGAGTCTCACCTCATAGCCCATACGTTTTGGTGTGGTACTTACCTTCATCACACTGCCCTGGCTACTGTCTGGCACCCTGTAAAATATCCAGTACTTCCAGGTATTGGAGAACTCACGATATTTGCTCTTATTGCCTCTGTAAGCTCAGACGCTGAGTTTACTCATGGCTCCAGCAGGCAGGGTACCCCGGAACATAAGTATGAGTAACAGAGGTGATGTGCCATGAAGAGAACCTGTTATTTTGCCCTGAATGGGCAGAGTGACTGGTTTGGTTTAAGTCAGCACCCTATGCAGAGACTTCATTTCCACTTTTTGTGTTTGAGGAGCTCCTTATTATTTCAGCCATTACCTATAGAACATGATCATAGTTTTCCATCAGCCCACTGACTGAATCTGTGTCGGAAATTCCCCTGCAACAGTGTTACCACATCTACTAAACTGAGTCAGTCCATCACTATCAGTGCCATGCTTTATTTCATGTATGTCTTCTCCCCCTAGGACTGCACGTAAAGAATACATCACAGCCAAGTATGTGGAACACAAATATTGCCGGAAGATATATGCTTCAGGGGCAGAGAAACAGAGCGAGCTGCTGGAGGCTGTGAAGTCGAGGGATTTACTTGCACTAATTCAAGTCTATGCAGAAGGAGTAGAGATCATGGAACCACTGGTAGAATCTGGACAGGTACCACGAGTATGTTAATTATTGAAAGCCTTTGCTGAGAAATATGGATTCTGCTATTGGTGACTGCTTTCTGTAAATGCTACTTGTCTGGCTGTCAGCCTGATCCAGTGGCTTCAAAACTGACATGGAGTAAGCATATTTGTTCTTGACCGGTGACTCAGAAAGTGTTCAAGATATTGGCAACTAGAAAGATTGAACATGCACAATCATTACCTTGTCCTTGCAGAAAGTAAAGCAGACAGATATCCTTTTAACTGGACTAATCCCTGGGTGGATACAATAGGGGCCAATTATTCCAATGTTTTTGAAAACTGGCTTCCCCAGGTCGCCTGGTAGTAGTTAGGGGTGTTCTGCTGCCCATAAATATAAGGAATATTGCTCTGTCTGGGCATAATTGCCCAGATAGGACACTGGCCTTTTCTGCATAACTTGATAGGCTGATCCCTTAACTTTGTTGATGGATATTCTGGTTGTCCTATCCATTGATAATGACCCCCCGGCTGGTCTTTTGTATTATGACAGCGGTGGGTGTACCACTGTCAGAACACCAGAATAGTCGCTAAAGCTGATCGGCTGCAGTCGCTGTTTGGCTGAGATTTTTCAGACCTGCGAAAAAAAGTCATTTTTTAAAATCCGGTTCCAACGGGGCCAACCACTGATCATAATCTGACTATTGTATGGCCAGTTTAAGCCTCCATTCACACCAATACTTTAGGTGCGATTTAGTATCCCTGCATCAGGAACGTGCGATTTCCTGCAGCAGGAATCCCATATCTGTCATTTACAATTGGCAGCTGTCACCCATTTAAGTTTGGGTGAAATCGGCATGAATGCTGGCACGCTGCATGTTATATGTGATATAATTACATGCGGTTAGGAATCAGTCACTATTCCTGGATGCGTGATCAATATGATACCATAACATGCGGTGTGCCAGCGTTCTACTGCTTTCAAATGTGCCCGATGTCACCCGATTATTAACTTAAACAGGTGACAGCTGCCGCTTGTAAACGGCAGATTTGAGATTCCTGCTGCAGGAAATCGCAAGTTCCTGATGGAAGAATACCAAATTGCACCTGAAGTATAGATGTGAATGAGACTAAGAAGAAGTCTCATATTTTTCACAGCTCCGTCCCCTGACTCCCACAGTGTATGTTGCTTTTGATCCCATGCTTAGAAACTGAGATACAGACTTTGGCAGCTCACTCCTCTTCATTCCTGACCACGATCGTAAAGGAGACGGACTCTTGATTTTTTTTTTTTCTCGAGGGTTTAATTACACTTGAAATGCATACGTAATAATATGCATGTGCTTACAGTTACTGGGGGGTTAACCCCGACTGTTTCATAGCCTTGGAGAATTGTCCTGCTGCCTTTACCAGAACCAGACTGATAAAGGCAATTATTTTACACCAACGAGTAGAGTTTGGGACAGTATGTGGAAGAACTCAGAACCTTGAGTATTAAGCGGTTAGATTTGGCTGACCTGAGAGACCGGTTCTCGGGCCTCACTGTGATCAGAAGGCAATTCTTTTCATATGCTAGAAGTACATTGCGGATTAGGCACTTTGTGAAATATTTGCCAACAGACTGTTGGGTAGCTACTATTTGTTTTAAATCACTGCAGGTATACACAAAGCTGTCTTTTTCTGACATCTGGGAAAGGGAGACGGCAGGAACCTAAAATCTACAATCTATGGGAAAGAACAGAAAGGGGGACATTAGAGAAACCTTTAAATACACTAAAGCCGGCCATACACCTATAGATGATCTGCAGATTTTCTATGGTCAGATGAAAAAAGTGCAACAGATTCCTCCATCTACGCTACACTGTGTGGATGGAGGAATCTCCACCTGGGCCAAGCTTCAGTATCTTGCTAGTCGGCCTCACTGGCTCTCAAAATACCTGAACAGTGCCAGCATCCAATCAGATTGTTCAGGTATTTTGAGAGCCAGTGAGGCCGACTAGCAAGATACTGAAGCTTGGCCCAGGTGGAGATTCCTCCATCCACACAGTGTAGCGTAGATGGAGAAATCTGTTGCACTTTTTCCCTCTGACCACAGAACAGATAATCTATACGTGTATCGCCAGCTTAAGGGCGTGAACAAGGTTAAGGAGGGCGTTGTTTTTAATATGAGGCTAAGATCAAGAGCACGGAGGCATGACCTCAGACTATCATGAGAAAAATGGAAAACTAACCTACTGTAAGTATTATTTTAGCTAAAGAGTAGTTGATGCTTGGAATTCACATCCAGCAGAGGTAGTGAATCAGTCAACAGTAAGGAAATATAACCGACGTGTGTCATATGTTGGTGGCAGCGCCAGCAGCTGCACAGATTTTCAGTATTGGTTACATTCCTACTCCCAGTTGTCTGCTTTCTAGTGGAAGTGATTTCAGGCAGCTGGTAAAGCCGACCGAAATTACTTCCACATCCTCCGGAAGGTGAACACCCCCTTTCTGATGGCAGTAAAGTTACGTTAAAAGAAGAAAAAAAAGTTTAATCAAATTAATAACACCCAAAAAAAAACAAAAAGCTCCTCACCCCATGTACACACACACACACGCTGACAAATAGGAAAATAATTGGGTCTCACCACACACGTCACAGTGAGAGCAATAATTCTTCCCATCATAAACTGTGAAGACTTTAGAAGCATTTGAACATTGTTAGGTATTGTAGTTTTCTGCTGGTACATGTGTGCAATTTTTAGGCTCAACATATTTGCTTTCAATCTATTCTATCTTCATCTTTTATATACTTTAAAAGAAAAATAGGTATTACGCGCTAAAATAAATTTGATTGGTTTTATTACTGAAAGTTTGGGTTGTACTAATATTGTGTGACAAAGAAAATGTCAACTGCCAGCATTTTATTTTGCAGGGTTTCTGCTTTCTGAAATATATAAAGTTTGGGGGTAATCTTGGGGCCTAAAATGTGCTTTTTAACATGTGTGCAAAAAAAAAGGATTTAACATGCTTGGGACGAACATAGATCTATACCTGGGACGTGCGGTCAGGGGAGGCAGAGCCTCACCTAGTATTATGGAGGAAAAAGCTGTCAGCTTCAAGTCTGAATCTTGACAGCTTTTTCTCCATTCAGATCGGCTTCTATCAGGTTACAGAGCAGATAAATCCTCCTCGCTGTGTAACCTGTCATGGACGGAGCGCTACCTGTTAATTACCGGCCGCGCTGCGTCCGGCTTGTGACAGGTAGTTAGGTTACAAAGCAGCGGGCTTCCCCACTACTTGTGCAACCTAACTTGGTGAGGCAAGAGCTGTCGCAGCCTCTACTCTGTGTTAGAGGCGTGAGCTCTGTGGATGGTTGAACCAATGGCAAAGCGCTCTTGGTCCAAGCTGTCCAATCAAAAAAAAAAAACACTGAGGCCATCGATCGCCTCAGCAGTGAAGAGCAAGTGAGGGACAGGGAGGCTCCTCCCTTCCTCCTTCACACTAGCTTGGAGGGCGGGGCTTCGGGCGGCGGGGCATGCTGGGGAATGCCTCACCCGGAACCAGAGATACTGCATGTTATCTGATCTATACTCAGATAACAGAGAATTAAAGAAGGGGCAGAGTCATTGTGTTCTTTTGTTCTTGTGTTTTGCAGGAGCCAGGTGAAACCGTTCTCCATTTTGCAGTGCGCACTGCTGACCACACCTCCCTGCCCTTAGTTGACTTCTTAGTACAAAACTGGTGAGGATTTCCTTCCTTTTTTTATCATACCTGTATACAAGCACTCTTATTGTGGGGCTTTCTTGTCAACCGCTGTATTTTGGAACACATAGAGCTGTGAGCAAATGGAAAACACACTTTTTGACCTGCTTTGCCTGTTATTCAAACATACCTCTGTAGGTCATGCTGCATCCAATGAAAACAGAGCGGGCCAAACCCAGCCCCTGAATTGCCATGTGTACGGCTCCTTATGGGCTTGTGTTGATGAGCTTTCTTTTTACCCGCTGCGTTTGCTAATCAAACACATGGATTCATATAGTAAACTCTGCATTTAAAAAGAAAAGGCCGTGTTTGCATAGCTTTACCTGCCATTCTAACACACCTCAGTACAGAGTCCAATGCAAAGCAGCAGGTCAAATGCAGCCTCTGAGCTGCCATGGGTACCACCCAATTGAAGTCAATAGGATTTTGCTGAGCTGCGTTTGACGTGAGTTTTTAAGGCGGAATTCAAGACAAAAGAAATATTTTTCAGGGCGCTGCTCAGGTAGAATAAGATTCCTAGATGTTCACTTTTTTAAGTTCAGGTCCATTTTAAGCATCATAGAATTCTGTATGCATGTTAATTGTGCTTATGTCTTCTCTACCCATCTGTGTTCACAGTGGAAACTTAGATAAGCCGAACAGTAAAGGCAACACGGCGCTACACTACTGCTGTATTTATAATAAGCCTGAATGTTTGAAACTGCTTCTGAGGGGAAAACCAACTATTGACCTGGGTGAGTGCTGCATTCCTGTTGCCATCTTTCACTTATTAATCATTATTATGCTTCAGGCTAAACTATAAAACGAGCTCTATAGTCCTCTTATGTATGTTATCTTCAGCCATGAAATCATTTTTCAGGTCAGCCAGGGTAATAGTTTGACGTACTATTACATAGTAAGCAGCAGTGGGCTGTCCCTTGGGACGAGTTATGCAAATATTAACATACCTTGATGGGTGGATGTCAGTCTGGAGGAGTGGGCATTCCTTAGCATGCAGGCTGATCTAGGTAATGCCCACATGTCATGCCTCCATGGTTGAAAGAAGTGACATTCAATGAAAGAATGGGGACAGGGACAGTCAGGCTGGGGAAGGAAAAGCTAAATGATACTGGATATCCTCCAGCCAGTAAATGAAATGTGTGACTTGAGCTTCAAGTCACAGTGTGCAATGAAATGAGAGTAAGCAATTCCAGTTCAGTAGAGAAGTCTGTGCAATTGTGCAAGACTAAAGGTAACATTGGAGTTCAGCTTTGTTTCTGTTAATGCATTTCAGCTATTTGTGTCGCAGTTTGGATCTAATTGCCTAAAAAGTACCTAAAACTAATGTCAGTTTGGGTGCAGGGTAACTGGAAAAGACTATGTGTATAATTATACTTACTTTTGCAGCACCAATCTGATAGTCCAGAATGTGGTGAGACTCATATATCAAGTCCTCGTCACTTGTCACATCCAAGGCTTTCGTTTCCCATGGTTCTTGTTGACATTAGGCCTGATTCACACCAAGACGACAGCGTGCTCGTTGTTTCACTTGTAAAATGCACGCACATTAAGTTGCGTGTTTTTATGAATGGATTGCAACAGATAGCATTTCCTATTGAGTCTATGGGGACAAAATGAGCTGTAATCTGCCACAAAGAAGCTCATGTAATTTTTCCTGCGACAGACGTTTTGCTTATTGCGACAAAACGCTCAGGTGTGAACAGGAGCCATAAGAATGAATGGAATATTTTGGGGAAAGCTTTTTGTTGCAACCATACTAGGGATGCACCAATACTGGTATTTCGGTATCGAGTACTACTACCGATATTTTTATTTTCGGTACTCACTGATACCGGAAGTTCCCATAAGGAAGCCAGGCGGCGTATAATGACTCGCCACCCGGCTTCCTGATTTGGCTTTCTGGCCAATCGGGAAGCCGGGCACCCTGTAATAGTAGAAAAAGATGGTAACCACATACATTTATAACCAGCCTTTGTAGCAGGGTGCACATGGGAAGGCTTACAACAGGGGCACCCGCAATTTTTCGTCTGGATATCTACTTTTCAAGTGACGAGCTCAATGAGATCTACCAACAAAAAAACACCTGCATTCAGAGGCGGGAGGGGGCACAGCTGTGCATTGAAGTCAATGGCACCGCAGCCACGCTCCTCACCCGCAGTGCAAGCACTATTTTTGCAGGTCGCACTGGACCGGAATGCAGGCACTAATGTGCTTGCGTTCCGGATGCGAGCGATCGCACTGTGGGTGGGGGGCATGGCTGCGGTGCCATTGACTTCAATACTACCCCACGCCCGCCCCTGAACGCAGGGAGTCAGCCGGATTGCATCTCAGTACGTTCTAGAGGCGCCGGAGTCCTGCCCTCCCATGGTGCTCGTGTGGCCGAATGTGGCCAACGTAGCACACGGGGAGAGGTGTCCTGCCCCTTTCCGTCTGCGGTGTCTAACACATTCAGCCGGCAGCCACATGAGCTCCGCGGGAGCATAGCCGTAGCCCACTCCTTTTGTGCCCGGGGCAAGAAAAAAAACAAATCTCGGTCCATAAACCGAGCGCCCGACTTTTCAGAGGGGGGTGACACCAAAATGACTCGGAGTCATTTTGGTGTCACCCCTCCAATGGTGGCACCCGGGTGCACCCACTGTTCACCAGGACAAAAAGAGAGTGAATCTTACCTGCAGACATACAGACAATACATTTCTGAATACAGGATTAAACACTCCACCTATAAAAGTCCAGAATAAGATTTTATTTGCAATCACCAAGAGAATGCCAACACTTGTCAGGGATTGCAGAGGTCCCCTTCTTCAGGGCTGAATAAGATCATAAGAATGAAATCCAGCACCAGGAGGACAGGTTAATTTTTAATATTCACGCTGAAGGCTTTATGTCTCGGTCTAGTAGGCTGCCAAACTAGAGTGAGACATAAAGCCTCCAATGTGATTATTATTAATTACCGTCCCCCTGATGCCACTGCCCGGTCCGGATTTCATTCTTTGCAGCTTATTCAGCCCTAGAGATGGAGGGCCTTTGCAACCACTGAAATTTGTTGGCATTCCCTTGGCTATTGCAGAAAAAACATTTTGTTCTGGACCAGGGGCGTCCCAAGGCCCAGTGATACCCCGCCGTAATCGCGCATTCGCGATTACTTTATTGCGCATGTGCGGCCATCTTGGTGATGGACGCCAACAGAGAGAGGATGTTCACCCGGTGCGATGAGGTATGCCGCCAGGTCCCCTCCTCTCTCCTGCAACTGTCGGGCTCTCGGTCCATAACCGAGTGCCTGACTTTTCAGATGGGGTGACGCCAAAATGACTGTCAGCCATTTTATTTTCACCCCTCCAATGGTGTCACCCGGGTGCGGGCCACACTCCACTAGTGACGCCACTGTTCTGGGCTTTTGTAAGTAGAGTGGTGCTTCTATGTTTTATCCTATATTCATGTTTCCCTAAGGACCAAAGTTCTAGGAAAGTTAGAGCTGCAAGTGTACTTTGACATAAAGACTCATGGCTACATCAAATACATGGAGAAATCCGGTGCTCCTTGCCAGCTGATAAATATTGAGCAATTAAAGCCTAGCACTGGTTCTAACCCTTCCCACATCTGAAAGAAATCTCCTTATTGTCCATATTACCCGGATTCTCCCTTCATGGTTACAGTGCAGGTTTTATATGAGGTCTGCTTTGCTCTCGATGTCAGACAGATATAGAAATGATGATGGCGTAGCAATTACATGTCTACTTTTCTCTTGTAGTAAACCAGCTGGGGGAGACCGCTTTCGACACTGCGAAGAGATTCAAAGCAGCCCAGTGTGAGGAACTGGTGAGTGACCGCATCCTGACCACATTAGTATACTAATACACACATCTTGCTATAAAAGAGCAGCCAGTCAGTTATCGGTCTTTCTTCCAAACCAGTCCGTGTCGTTCCAGAAGCACTTTTTATTTTTGTGCATTCATGTGTGTTGCATTAAACCAAACCAATTATTTTGAATGGGATGCCAATAACCTGCCAGAGCCAATAAAACGTACCTGACCCCTTTTTGTAATGCAGTGCAATGCGCGTTGCCTGCTACTGCAGTTAGGATGTCGTTCTCAATGGTCCAATGACCTTTGCAACAAAATCTATTTTCTAAAGGTATTTGTGTGGATGTTTGTCTTAAAAGGCCAATTTCAGCTCAAAACATGCCTTATGTTAGACCCAGTGATGTAATTACTGGGTCTCTGCTTCTCTGTGCAAAATTAGCAGATTGTGGCTGGTGGGTGGGGCCGTCAGGGTGCTGTACATAGCTCCCTGAACACATTACAGCATCTTGCCTCAGTACTGTTCTCAAGGGCCATCAGCACTGATGTAAGCAATGGACTGACTCTTGGGAGGACTTATGCAAATATCAAAATGCTTTGATGGGTTGGTGTCAGTCTGGAGGAGCAGGTTTTCCTAGGCAGAATGTACAAAGGTCTTGTTGCACTCCTTTACCGGATATCACAATAACAGGGGAGAGTGCTCATAGTGACTGCGGATGGCGCCGCTTGTTACATGAATAGTCACCAGCGCACCAAAAGTCCTTTCAGGATCAGCATGTGTTCATTTATTAGGAACCATGTCAAATGAAGACGAGCCCTTTCAGTGCCGCGCAGGGTCCCTTCATCAGGCTTAACCTTCCATGCATACTGCCCTAGGCAAAGTCCATGTGTGATGCTGAGCCTCCATGATTGAAGGAACCACTAAAAGCCAATAATTGAAAACGGCGGGCAAGAGACAGTAATGTTTGGTGGGTAAGAACTAGATGGTGCTGGATGTCCTCCAGCCAGAAAATGAAGCAAGCTCTATCTGCAATGAAATCAGAGTAAGCAATTCCAGTACAGGAGAGGAGCCGGTATAACTGGGCAATACTGAAGGGAATGCGGGAGTTCAGCTTTAAGGAAAGACAAATGTGTAACTTAACGTGCCCATGCAAGTGCAAACATCATACGATGCCAATACATACCCTTCAATGGCTGTACAGGGCTGGGCAGTGTCACAGTGAAGAATTAGGGAAAGGGGATGAAGTGAAGTGTTTCAGTGTGCAGGGTGAAGAGGTGACGGATATATGTAAAGGACAATTTCACCTTAAGAGTCAACTGGACTTTAATTTATTTCTTCATGTATTCATTTACAGCTTTCCCAAGCCATGACTGGTAAGCTGAACCCACACATCCACGTAGAGTATGACTGGAACCTGCGTCCGGAAGAAATAGATGAGAGTGATGATGATTTAGACGACAAGGTGAGATTTACAAGTTCAGGTGTCTGTTTTATATTCATGATTCCCCCTTCTTAATTAATGATTAAGATGCTGGGCCTGTGAGGAGGACGAATTCTAAGCTCACAACATCCAGGAAATTGCCATCTCAGAATATGGTTGATCAGTCCACCCACGGGTGAATGTTGGTGGATTTAGCCAAGAATTGTCCTGTTCTACATCTGGGGTATCCTCCTAGCTCCTGGCAATGTGAAATATGAAATCCAATATAGGAGTTAGAGTTCACACTTCTGGGATTATCAAGACTGTTTTAAACTACTAACATTATGGACTGACCCTTTAAAGAAATCCTGTCCTGAGAAAGATATGCAGGCTTCCATTGCTGGTCCTTATCTGGAAAGTCCTGCTAGTTGCCAGGCTTTTATGTTAACCTGCTGGATTTAAAGTGTATGTCCAGGAAACAAAATAAAAAATGTAATTGAGGGGAATTTATCAAAACTTAGGCAGGCAAGATATGGAGCAATTGTGCATGGCAACCAATCAGCTTCTTTCAATTTCAAAGCTTAACGGGACAAACTGAACAGAGAAGCTGATTGGTTACTGCTGTAGATTCCCCCATTATCTTTACAATACATGCACCTTTTCCCATGCTGCTGTACTGACATTTCAAACAGTTCTGCCTACTGGATTACAGAGCTCTTCCTTACCCCTCACCCCTCTCTATCTTTTTCCACATCCATACATTGAGGGCAATTTATCAAAACTGGAGCAGACAAAATCAGGAGCAGCTGTGTATGGCAACCAATCAGCTGCTATTATTTTCAAAGCTTAACTGAGCAAACGGAAGAAAAAGCAGATTGGTTGCAATGGGCAACTGCTCAACATTCTGTCTGCTCCAGTTTTGATAAATTCCCCCCCCCCCCACACACACTTAACATCAAATAGGGGAAATCTGTGTAGAATTTTTAAGCAAGTAGAAAAGCACTTGGCATGTAAGAAGCAATGTTTACATATTTTTATTATGCAATGTGAATGGGAACAAATATAAAGAATGTGTTATGCCAATTTGGCTACAAGATTTTTATAAAGTTCTCTTTTCATCACAAGAAATAAGATACCTATATACAGTGTTTTAGGATTTTGCTTCAGGTAATCACTAAATATGGGCCAAAACTGGTATTCGTAGACAGTCCAAGCCCAAACAGCCACCATGGAAGATGCAATTGTATGTGGGTGACATCACATGTATATGTGTCTGTTATACAACCACCTTATTTCTAACATCTCCTAATCTGTTAGGTCTGGTGACTGTGCATGGTCACGTAGCTTCATGAAATCTAGGATAACTGCTGCGATTCGGTGATCTTGTACAGATTTCATGTGGTAGAATCTCAGTAGTGTATTATTATTATTATACAGGATTTATATTGCGCCAATAGTTTGCACAGCGCTTTACAATATAAGGAAGACATTACAGTCACAATACAATTTAAGACCAGATGGTAAGGAGGGCCCTGCCCGTGGGGGCTTACAGTGTATCTAATTAGTTCCAGAACAATGTAAACTGGCGGCACTTAAAATTCTATGCTGACAAACTTTATTGATCTAGACAAATGAAGAGTCCCCACCTAGGAGCTTTCTCTACTGATTTGGTTTACCCTCTACGATTAAGCCTAACTTAGTGGGTCAGAACATGTCAGAGGTTCCCAAGCTGGGACTCCTTGTCCAGATTTAAAAAAGAATGTCTGGGATACATTTTGCAGAGTACCATCAGTTTATGTTTTTTCCCAAATTTTGCAGTGAGTGGGACATAGGACAAGCCCCAACCTGGCATTTAGCACCGGACTTGCCTGGAGGGTGAAGTGACTTTGAGCTTGGGAGCAGCGCACTATGTCCTTATTATTGTATCTAACTAGCTCTTCTTTTCTTCTTCATCCCCAAAGCCTAGTCCAATCAAGAAGGAGCGTTCGCCAAGGCCGCAAAGCTTTTGCCATTCCTCCAGTATTTCCCCCCAGGATAAGTTGTCGTTGCCTGGCTTTAGTACTCCACGGGATAAGCAGAGACTGTCTTATGGAGCTTTCACTAGCCAGATCTTCATGTCCACCAGCACAGACTCGCCAACGTCTCCCATAATCGACGCACCACCACTCCCGCCTAGGAACACAGGAAAAGGTATCTTAATTTTCCCTAGTCCTTTCCATGAAATGAGTAACCTTAGAAAACCATTGGAGTTATCCGATTGTTAATTCATCATCTTAATGCTGTATTTCAAAAAAACGAATCCCTCCAGAATCTCTGATATGTCCCTTTTGACTTGTCATTGCAATCATCTTTGCCTGGGGATTCCAGTGGTGAAGTATTTCTAGTTTTGGGCCATGACCATCCCGAAGCCAAATTATGGGATTTTCAGTAATACAAACTACACAAATAATGTTGTATCATTTTACCACTGGAATCTCCAGAAAGCTTATGGATCAGCCAGGCTTTGACTTTAAAGCAGCACTCCAACTATAACACAATTGATCGACATATAATTTTACCTGCCAGTCCACCTCATAGCTCTAAAGACAAATAGTCAATAGTAACCCTGATATTTAGAATCTGCGGTTTCTTATATTCTGCCTGCTTACTGCAAAAGAGGTAATTGCTGCGCTTTTGACCTTTTGTAAGTCTAACACTGTCAGCCTGACTTCAAATGTTAGCTGTAACACAGATAATGAAATGTGAAACAGAGAACAGGCAGTTGTATTAGCAGAATGTTAATGTTCTGGTATTGATTTTTGAACAAATATTACTGGACTGAAGAGTTTATAATGTCTTGGAGGTCAGGTATAAAGAGGAGCAATCCATACCTTGGTCATGAGGTCCTCTTCAGGATCAGCCAATTGTATGGCAGAGGAACCACACACACAACACAGTTTAATAAATTAAAGGAGAACTATGGGGTCAGGGCTTTTCCCCATTACTGTCTGGATCCACCCAGCTGCGTGAGTGACAGCTGGCTCTGCCTATCTAGAGGCAGAGCCAGCTGTACCCTCCCCCGTCCGTTCCACCAGTCAGCGCTGGAGGATCAGACAGCGGAGGGGGGGATCCCTGCAGGGAGCCGTGAGTGACCGTCACGGCTCTCTGCAGGGATAGATCGAGAGTTGAGCGAGCGACGCTATGTGTTCGCTCACTTCCCGATCTATAGAGCCGACGTGTAACAGTTTCATTGTCACAGGTCGGCTAGAACTATGAGGCTGAGTGATTTTCACTCACCTCATAGTTCTCCTTTTAACCTTGCTTTTAGAAGGTTGCAAATATGGAAAGTCATCAACCTAAACTGTACCACAGGCACATGTACCATTTTATTGGCTTATGATTAATATGATATGATCCAGGAGAGTATTTCAAACTGGCTATTCGCCAAATGTCAGGGACATTGAAGACCGAAAAAGTCGGTGGAGCAGGTGACATGACCAAAGAAAGGAGCTCAGTGAGGGCAAGATGTATACTTGTGCGTCCCACTACGCTATTTCATAACTATGCCCGGAGGTTCTTTTTAAGGGGAGCATTTGAGGATAGACATATGACAACTTCTATTGCTGATTTGGTGTTTAAATGGGCCTGGGCTGTCATGTTGATCCTGATTTCACCACCTAGCAAGACACTGAATTGGTACAAGTGTGCAGTAAAGTGTGAACTCCCAATCTGCATTTTTTCTGTTCTGGGTCATTGGCTCGCTAGATAGTAAAGCCAGGACCAAAGTGACAGCCTTGGTGCCTTCAATGTTAAGCATGTCAGCAATGGCAGCCTCCATATTTCTATCCTTTTCGAAATTAAAATGTTCTGCCCATTTATAAAAATAAGTCATCCTATAGCCGTGCGTCAGCAAGATTTGTGGACTGTGCTCCCTGCCTGCCATCACACAGCTTCTTTCTGAAATCTTCAGAACAGTACCCACTCAAGCACGCTGCAGATGCCCATCACTTCAATGGGAAGCCCATTGTTGAGGCTGTGGACAGACTTTCCACCAAAGTGAATGGGCCACACTGCATGCCTGGAGGCTGACCTGTTGTAAGTGGGGCAGAGAAGTATGAGTGCACCTACCTACCCTTTAATGTTACCAAAAATAACTTGCTCAGAAATGTTATTAAAGGATTACTGAAAGTTGGCAAATTATTTATTTGTACAAATGTTTTTGGGTTTTTTTCTGTTAAGTTTTTATTAATTTTAAGTTAAAGCATAACTCCAGTCACATGACTAAATACACATCTGGAATATATAAATGTGAATGGTTTTATCTGCCAAATGATTTGTAATTCTGTCAGTTTTCTGGTCCATGCAGCCTTGTCAGACGGTACAATCAGGTAACAGACCTCCCTCAGTGTACACCACAGTTAAGCATTGACTGAGGATGCACCAATACTGGTATTTCGGTATCGAGTACCGATATTTTTTCGGTACTCACCGATACCGGAAGTCCCATTAAGCAAGCCAGGCGGCGTTTAATGACTTGCCACTTGGCTTCCTGATTAGCCGTGAAGTCAGGCGGCTGTAAAGACTCGCCACTCAGGTTCCCAATTAGCAGGGAAGCCGTCCTCATGCTTCTCGTCACTATGTGGCGAGTGAGCATTGAGCCAGCTTTCTGGCCAATCAGGAAGCCGGGCGCCGTGTAATGACGCAGCGCCCGGCTTCCTAATTGGCCGAGAAGCCGGGTCCATGCTCTCTTGTCACCTCATGACAAGGGAGCATGGAGCCGGATTCCCGACCAATCAGAAAGCCGGGTGCCTTGTCATTACACGGTGCCCGCGCTTCCTGATTGTCCAGCTTCTCGGCCAATCAGGAAGCTGTGCAGCGAGTCATTACACGATGTCTGGCTTCCTGATACAGGAAGTATCAGGCTAGGTATCGAAGCATTTGGGCATGTACGAGTACTCGCCCAAATACTCTGCATCGGCACTGATACAGATACTAGTATCGGTGCATCCCTACTAGGGACCCTCCCCAGGCTGTAATTGGACAGTGAAACAGCAGCACACTGATCAGGTCATACCTCTGCTCTCCCTTCTGTAATCTTGTTTACTGTGCAACACAGTAGCTCTGATTGGGTCTGTGTGCTGCCTCTTCCTGTCCAGTCTAAGTCCTGTTGTTCAGGAAATTACAGAAAACTGATATCAGAACAGATTCAGATTCAGATGCTTATGCATAGCTGTCTAATCATACATTTTGATACATAATAGGATTACATTGTTTTGATATCTGCTTTGAACTCTGTGCCTTTTGAGGTTACAGAATCAGGGGGCATACAAATGAACCTCTCATTCTAGTTCAATAAAGAGGTTGTTCAGGAGTTAAACTTTTTCCACTCGTTTACAATTTCTGCCCTAACGACCAGTCCATCAGATCACAGATAATTTAACATATGGGCTTAGACTCCACACAGCCCTCTTCTCTGTTCTGAAGGTTAAAGAGCAATGATGGGCAATATGTGAAACCATTCACTGAGCTACTAATGCTTTTCAGCAAACCCTGCAGCACTGTTAATGTGTAACTGTACATTTGGTGCAGTTACACTTCTATGGCAGTGCCCCACCTCCTGTCCTATACCCACTTGTCCCCAAACCCAGCTACAATTTGCTGACCAGATCGCAGAGCCTCTTGGGAAATCCTGGCCGGGCCTATGCTGGTGCTTTACACTCCTATTAATTCCTATTGAGCCAATCGTTTTTATTGGTATGGTGCTTGGTGTGAGCTCATCCTCAGAAGTTCCATAGGGTTGAATGGAGAGTGCAGAGCTCATGAATTGCCCTTGCCCGTAAGATCTTAACAAGCCCCCAAACCAGCAACAATTTGCTGACCACATCGCAGAGCCACTTGGGAAATCCTGGCCAGGCCTGCGCTTGTACTTTGCACTCCCGTTCATTCCTATTGAGCCAATTGTTATTTTTTTGGAGCTTCTGAGTGTGAGTTCGTCCTCAGAAGCTTCATAGGATTGAATGGAGAGTGGAGAGCTCATGTGTGGCCCTTGCCCATAAGATTTTTGACGACAGTGACACTCTGGTCTGGTCAGTGATATTTTGCTGGTTTGGAGACAGGTGGGTATAAGACTGGTGTGTGTGTATCTCAATACAAAGTCTAAAAGTTCATTTCCTTATCCTTACCCTGAGTTCTTTGAATTAGACTGCAGCAAGCCTTTATGTAACACCATTCTCATTGGTAGTGTTTCCTGAAGCCGGTGCTGTGCAATTTCCTCTCTTTGCTTCTTGTATTGCCAGTTATGAGTCATGTTCAAACTTTCAAGACAGGCTTCAGTCTGATTGGTGGCATGGAAAGTCCTAGAGCGGACCATAAAAATGTAAGGTCTACTTGTTCTGCAGCCCCCTCCCCCTACCATAGTAAAACACTGGAAATAAATGTAAAAATGACGTGCTTTACATGCTAGTTTCCAGCAGTAGTGCATGTTGGAGATTGGGGATCCTCAGCTCTCCCAGGACCCCACGGTGAGGCCCAGTGGCATCATCCCCTGTTTGGGCAAGCGCATCAGAAGCTAGGGTGTAAAGTGAGTATTACACCGTGTTTTACATGGGGAGGCGGGCTGCAGAAACCTTGCATTTTTTTTATTGCAAGATTTGCTTTAAAGGAGAACTATGGGGTAAGTGTTTGTTTTTCCCCATAGTTGTCTTTAGGGTCATTGGAAGATGTATACTAACCTCCTCCTGTGACCCAAAGCTCAGTATATAGCGAGCTACAACTCGCAGTATACCGAGACCGCCCCAGCCGGGACGGATCCCGACATTACTGTCGAGATCCACCCAGCTGCGTGAGTGACAGCTGGCTCTGCCTATCTAGAGGCAGAGCCAGCTGTGCCCGCCCCCTCCGCCGTCCGTTCCTCCACTCAGCGCTGGAGGATCGGAGAGGGGAGGGGGGAATACCTGCAGGGAGCCGTGAGTGACAGTCACGGCTCTCTGCAGGGAGATGATCGAGAAGTGAGCGAGCGACGGTATGTGTTTGCTCACTTCCCGATCTATTGAGACAATGTGTGACAGTTTTATTGTCACACGTCGGCTCGAACTCTGAGCATGAGTGATTTTCACTCACCTCATAGTTCTCCTTTAAGGGCTTGTGTACATGCATCGCTGTTCAAATGCATGCATTCCAACAAAAGGCTGCGTCTGGCCTGCTTTGCTATCTCAATAGGGCCTAGTGCATCCAAAATAAATGCTTAGCAAGTCTTACGCAAACTCAGAAATGTCATCTGCGCTGAACTATTAAGGTAAATAGGAATATGCTGACCTCTGATCGATGTGCGCTTTTAATGCAGGAACACAACCCTTGTCTACACAAGTCCTTAATCAGGATTTCTGTATGTGAGAGACATAGAGGAGCCTTCAATGGTTGTGTTTGGGAATAGCTGTTCTGCATTACAAGCAGGGCCTTTCAGCTCACCAGTTTATGTATAGAAGGGACTGGGGTGGACCTCTCAAAGAATTTCAGTTATGTCTGACATCCATCTTTAAGGGGCTTTGGGGCTGTAAATGAAGAAATCAACACTCACTTCACGTGTGGAAAAGGTTTAACTTTTGTCCTGAGAAGCTCTTGAATGAATAGCATCCAATGTGCTTTTATGAAGGTGTCCGGTCCTCTTTAATGGCATAGTAACAATACTGCAAAATAATTAGCAGCAATGGTTCGTTTTTACTCCTTTGCTGACCCAGCAGACGGACTGAATGTTGGTAGGTGTGTATGTAGGCACTGGTGTGCTGCTTGGCCATCATAAGTAAGATGTTTTGTATACTTTTCCAGTTACATCTGGTCCTACTTCAACCCTCCCTTTAAGCACCCAAACCCCTAGTGGCAGCTCCACCTTATCCAAGAAGAAAGCTCCTCCCCCACCCCCTGGACACAAACGAACTCTCTCCGATCCACCCAGCCCTCTACCTCATAGTAAGGGCTCGGTCCTCTGGGGTGAGTTGTCACATTTTAATTGGTGGGGCTTTGTGTCTCTGATCTCCGCTTTTATTGCTACTTCCTGTGTGCAGCAGACACCTGTCCCTTTTCTTTCCTGTTTACCTTCCTGCTCCTTTGCAGCAACCGCTTCAAGATAAGTCACTTCGGGTGCAATGTCTATCTGCACGCTGCATGGCCACCTAACTGGAATAATGACTCGCTAGAGACATCATAAATGGATTACCTATTGGTAACTGTGCATTTTGGGATGAGGTTGAGCCCTCTGGTCACATGACTTCTTGATGGGCATTCTTCTTGAGAACAGCAGAGGGTACTGCTGTCATGTCTGGAAACATAGGGAATTGCTGAGAGGGGATGTCAACCAACAAAAGTAAATGCTGTAATAAAAAAGCAGCGACGGAAAGCAACTGTAATGCTCCACCCATAATATAATCCAGCATTGCCCCCAAGCTGATAGGCTGTAGCTATTTGCTCTGTTCAAATGCTGCACTATAAGGTCAAACGTTTGTGCACACCATCATACCTATATGAGCTTGTTGGACATCCCATTCCAAAGCCATTCATGTGCAGTTGGCTATACAGCTTCTCCTCCTCTGGGAAAACATTTCATTCAAGTTTGGAGTGTGGCTGTGGGAATTTGTAAGGTCAGGTACAGAAGATGAATCAGAAGATCTGGCGTGCAATCGGCATTTCAGTTCATCCTGAAGGAGTTCAGTAGCATTGAGGTCAGTGCCCTGCGCAGGCCACTCAAATTCCTCCATACCAAACTCCTCAAACTATGTCTTTATGGAGACCACATTGCACACCTGAAATCAGTCATTTGGAAGAATGTTCACATACTTTTGACTGCATAGTATAGTTTTGTTGGCAGGCACAGAACTGCAGTATCTTTTTTTTTGTGTGGAAACCTTTGCCGCGCGAAAACGATCATATTGCACATTTTGGTGCTGCTGTGCCATTTATCCTTAATAGCACCCCAATACACCTTGCCAATGGATGCAGCACACCACGTACTACAGCAATGGTAATGGATTAAGGTGCATTGTAATCATTGTAGTGTGCTGCATTCCAATTAAAAAGTGCACACACCTTTTCTGGTGCGTTAGGCAGCCCATTCAAACAAAGTAACGCACATCAACACATTCTCTGATATGGCACCACAAAAGTGTGAACCTAGCCTTATATTTTTCTTTGATCTCTCCTGAAAAAAATCAAAAGTCCATTTAAAAAAAAAAAAGGGTTCTATATATAATTTCTAAAACATTAGCAGGTAGTAATAAAGTTTTCAGAGAAAAATGTACACTAGACGTGATATCCTTTGATAAGATTTCGGCTGCCATGGTAACAGTGGCATAGAGTGGCATCAAATATGACGAGGACAGTTTACCAATGTTCAGATTTTTTTCCCTTTAATCTGTTCGCTGCCAGAGCATCTTTTTTGCACATGTTATAATCCACATTTTAGGCTTGAAAATTACTTACACCCCCCAGAATGATATATTTCCTGAAAGCAGAGACCCTGTAAAATAAAATGGCGGCAGTTGCAGATTTTTTATGTCGCATATTAGTGCAACTCTTTATCAAACCCCAAATTTCAGTAAACAATACACATAGGTTCATTGTAGTGGACAAAGACAATAAAATACCCAATTTTGCCAAATATAAAAGAGGTTGTGCCAAGTAAATAGATACTCATCATACTGACCTTAAAAATTGCGTGCACCCATGAAACGGTAAAACCGTACGGTACCCCAAATTGTTCATTGCTGACGCTTTAAAAGCCACACAGGCCATCAGTTTAGCGTTAACCGTGAATATTGGCCCTAGAATTATTGCTCTCACTCTGGCGCACGTGGCAATACCTAAAGTGTGGCATACAAACGCAAAGCTTGTTTGCGTTTGTATTTGTGGAGACAGGGGACTTTTTGGGGGGTATTTTTAAATTTATGTTGCTTAACTTTATTTGCTATCACATAGCAGGGCTCAGAAGCCCCCTATTTGATAGCACATTGGAGGTGAAAGGTGCTCTTTAAGGTGACATTAGGGGTTTATTAGACCGCTAATGTCATCTATGCATTTCAGTGAAGCTGATCGAGCGCAGATCATGCTTAATCAGCTTCTTCCTTGGCTTCTGTAGCCGGGGAATGACAGCTCAGAAACTGGAAATGATAAAATCAGCGTCGGTTGAGGCTTCATTCAGCGAGGATATCAGCAGATGAATGTTCGCTGGTCTCTCTCTGTTACCTGCCAACACCTGCCATGCCGGTCCCAGGCCTGCCGGAGGAGCAGCGGAGCCTGGGAAGCAGGATGGGTGGTGGTGGGGGGGCTCTGTTTACCGGCTTAACTTGCTTCCAATATAAAGGGTCTGTTTATAGTGGTTCACTGCCAGCGCTGTATGACTTTAAGTCACTGGCAGCGAAAGGGTTAAAATATGATAAATCCTCTCCACCTGATTACTGTTTTTATTTCTGGATTAAATAGTGATTGTTACTTTTTTTTTTTTTTCCAAATGCACATGTTCATAGTAGATTTTCTGGCCTAAAATTCACAAAGTACTGCAGTTTGGATGAGCAGCAGATTGCATTATAACAAAGCTATTCCAAACACAGAGTACATCCCTTTAACAAGAGAAACACACCACACAATATAGCATTTGATTTCCAGTGCACCACCCCTTTAAATTTGCCTCCATACTACGAATGTCCCTTCAGAGAGGAAGGAATACTGCTGGCATTGCTTGTGAACTTTCTTTTTTTTTCGCCTGCACAATCTTTCATTACCTATACTTTAGGGGCTTCTTTGTGTTCCCTGATCTTTTCCTTGGCATTAAATCTAATTACAGTCTATTAACTGTCATTAGTTGTGTACATTTTCCCACCAGGTAATGACACAGGCTTTACCCCAGCGGATAAACCCATCAACAAGTTCGAAAGGCTTTCCCACTCTGCCAGGTATGTGAGGGGACCACCAAATGGGGGATAACAACTGAATTTTTTCTTTTCCAAATTATTTGTATCAAAAGAAAACAAAGTTTGAGATTGTGGAAAGATTACAATGAGCGAGAGTTTACAAAATGTGGTATCACATAACACAGGGCTGCGGGAGGGAGAGAGGGAGGGTGAAGGTAGTAGTCCTGGGCTCCTGGTGACATGGTCACTTGGTGGATGATAGCACGCCTTTCCTTCTAATGTCCAAGGTTGATTGGATTGCTGAGGCTGTTCATTCATGACCAGTGCTGTTCAGTGGTCACCCATCGAAGGTAGGTCAGCACAGGCAAAGTATTGTAGAGCATGCTTGGGAGTTGGCGATAGAGAGGGTTAGGGGTGTATGGGTCTAGGGGAAGAGATGGGCTGTATTGTTTTTGAAAGCTGAACCCAAACATATGTTATTTGCATCTGTTACATCCAAACAGAGTGAATGCTTTGGACCTTTTTTAAAAGAAATTGTACTGTTTTTACACTTCTATATGTATTATGTGACTGTGATCGGTGTAAAAAGTAAATGATCTCATCAACCAGTGTAAACACAATCATTAAAACCCACATATGCTATAAGATGTCATTTCAAAAGTCATTGTCAATAGTTTGAAATATTCAGCTTTCATTAAAAAAAAAAGAATACCTGCCATGGAAGTCCTTGTTCAGGAATTTCCTGTTTTTGGGTGTCAACGCAGAGTTCCTGCCTCTCTGTTGTGCTCCTGTGTTGTCACCCTGTCACATGGATTTATGATATAGTGGCCAATTAGGTACCTTTTACACAAGCATGTCCACTGTTGTCACCATCAGGAAACTCACCTTGAGAAATATCATGGCAGCACTGAGATTGAACAAACGGATGAATAAGGATGAAAAAAGTATTTTATGAAAACACAAATTGACATTTGTTTATGCTATATGATAATATAGCAAATTGAGAGTATATATTTAGGGTTTACATCTACTTTACCATTTTAAACTGTGTATAATTTCTGAGATATGTGTATGGCAGTAGCCATGTTTACTCCTGACATATGCAGTCTGTGCGTGTTGCTTAGTCATAATGACAGTGCTTGTACTTCCTTCCTCAGTGTAAGTCTTATAGGTCAGATCTGACCTAGTTGAAGACAGTAGGCTACGATGTCTATAAACAGAAAAGGGCAAGGGACAAATACTTGCAGAATATATGCGGTGCTAGGAAGAAAGCCGACTTTCATGACGCCGCATATTTGTTTGACGTCAGTAGGAAGGGGTATAAGACCCTGCAAGTGCATAACACTATACATTGATCTGCTAGAAATGCACTCATCTCCTGAGTCCTGGTGTGGGCTGACAACACAAAGTATTTCTGTGGATTGAGTGGTGTCAGCCCTGCACAGTTTTCTTTTTGCTAAACTACTTAACCACTCCCGCTCTCAGATCTCTACAACATAGGGGACTAATTGTTCTGTAGACCCAGGACAAGAACTAGAAGGGCTCTTTGAGGTAACACAGAAAGTGGACAGGGCAGCTCTGAATTTTTGACAGGATTAACAAATGAGGGTAAATCTCCCCAATTGGTGCAATCAAAATCCTGACAGAGGTCCTCAAACGTGTTCCCTCTGTACAGAACTAGAAAACATTTTGGCTGGAGTTTGATTTTAAGAACACTGGATATTTTTTATTGTAATAATGTAAATAAATGTTTTTTTATTTTTTAGCACGGGAACAACAAAGACGGCACTAGGGCCCAGAGTTCTGCCAAAACTACCTCAAAAAGGTAAGCTGTAGTCTTGGTGTATAGACCCGATTTGAGAAATCCAGATCACTTCATTCTTATATACAACACAACCAAGTCTCTTACCTTTTCTCTGGTATATGGCCGGAAGGTTATGGACACCTGACATTTACACCTATATGAGCTTCCTGGACATCCCATTTCAAACCTATGGGCACTCTTTTCTGGGAAAGCTTTTGGGGTGTGTCTGTGGGAATTTGTACCCATTCAGCCAAAAGAGCATTTGTGAGGTCAGGTACTTAAAGTGACATTAAACCCTCAGATTTTTTAACATAAACCAATACTGTAATTTGTGACTTACTGTAATCCATGGTAGTTTCCCTTCTCTTTGCTGCTCTTCCTTTTAAATCCTCATGTCTTCTCATGCTGGGGGAGAACTTCCCTTTGCAGCTGAGTGCCTCTTCCTGTAGTGCTGGCTCAGGTTGCAAACCTACACACAGACACCATGTATCCATTTCAGAGACCAGGCAGTCTGCTGCAAAACAGAAGTTCTGCCCAGCATGAGAACAGATACAGATTTAAAAGGAAGAGCAGCAAAGAGAAGGGAAACAACCATGGATTACAGTAAGGCGCACATTACAGTATTGTTTTATGCTAAAAAATCTGAGGGTTTAATGTCACTTTAAGGCTTAACCCACAATCTGCATTCCAACTTATCTAAGGGCCGGTGCAGACCTGGGCGATCAGGGACGCGCGATCGTGCACGATTGCACACAGTGATTGCCGTGCAGCCCCATTGATTTCAATGGGGTTACATTGCGCAGCAATCACAGAAAAAGGGTACATGTACCTTTTTTTGCGACACACGACGTGCGGTTGTTTTAGCTTATATTAGCTTATCGTGTTCGGCGCGACTGGGATGTCATAAGAAAATAATGGCACCGCCAGCGCAATCGGCGGTGGGCAACTCCGTGACTGCACAGCAATCCATGTTGTATCGTGCACAATTGCAGCGCAGTCACAGATCGCCCAGCTGTGAACATGGCAAAAAAGCTGCTCAGTAGGGTTGAGGTCACGGCCCTGTCCAAGCCACTGAAGTTCCTGTACACCAGTTTTTCTATGGGCCCAAATTAGGTCGCAGACATGTTTGGGATGGGTCACCTCTTGACTTTTTGTCCAAGTGAGAAATCATCTGATTGTTGACAAGTGATATAATACTGGCTATGATTGACAGCACAGACAGATATAGGGAACAAGAGAGCATGCAAGGCAGGATATATTAAAGAGTACCTGTGGTGTGATATATGTGGGGAAGTTCTAAGAAATGAATGCCTTAAATTTAACAAGCTAAAAAGGTATTTTTTGGCAATGTAAGTGGTAGGGTTTGACCGTGGTAGTGAGAGTCATTTGAGGCATAATTGGCTTGTAAGACAGTAGCTGTGGGTAGCTATCTAGTTTAGGCTCCATTCAAACTGAACCGGCTGTCCGAATATGTTCAAAGCCACTATAAACAGAGAGAGAGAAAAAAAGCACTTTAATGTGCATTGTTCAGACTATTACGGAGACCCCCAGAATAGTGCAAGTGCAATAATACGGCGGATTCCGCACGTTCGCAGCTAAATAATGGCCGGCCGATCGGCATCGAGCCAGGTTCCTGGCTAATCAGGGAGCCGAGCAGCAAGTAATGCCTGCCTCCCAGCTTCATGATTGTCTGGGAAGCCAGCTCCATGCTCATTGGCCGGCGTCCAGGCCAATCCGCATTGAGCCGGCTTCCTGGACAATCAGGAAGCCGGGAGGCAGGATATTACTCACCGCCCAGCTTCCGGTTTGCATGGGAAGCTGACTCCATGTTCCCCTACGGCACTGCCGTTCATAGGAAATCTTCTCTGACCGTAAGTTCCGGTATAGGGGAAGGTATCAGAGCAGGTATTGGAGCATTTGGGCGAGTACGAGTATCGGGGAAGGTATCGGCGCATTTGGCCGAGTACTCGCCATCTGCACCGATACTACTATCGGTTTCAGTGCATCCCTAGTGTCCACATACTTTTCACCATATAGTGTTGGTGTGATAGTCAGGTGTCCACAAGCATCCGCCCATATAGTGTATTTGTCAGTTATCATTATAATGTTAATAATTGCAGTTGCTCTTGTAATAGTCTATATGGAAATCATGGCTTGTAAATTCCATACACACCAAAACATTGTATGATCCTCCTCTGGAAGTGTTGCAGTCATAATATATTGAAGGATATACATTGATAATTGTGTCTCTTGACTCTCTTTCAAGTGGCACTTAGAAAGATTGATACCACTCATCATCTGTCGATGGACAAATACAACCAGCAGCCAGACATCTTCCAGAAATCTCCACAGCCAGTAGACCTGCCTCAGAAGCCGCAGCTCGCCGATCTTCCTCCGAAACCACAGCCCTTGGAATTCACACAGAAGCCACACATCGGAGACCTACCACCAAAGCCAGGAGAATTGCCTCCTAAGCCTCAACTGGGAGACCTGCCACCAAAACCACAGCTGGGAGATCTGCCTCCGAAACCACAGCTCAAAGATCTTCCACCCAAACCCATCCTGGGAGACCTGCCGCCCAAGGCACCTATAGTAGAGGTGACTCCTAAGCCTCATACACCAGAGACGAACCAAAATTCTCAGCCACCGGAGGTGGTTCAAAACTCCCAGCCGGCAGATCATGCGCCTGTGCAGAAGCAGGCTTCAGAAACTTCCAGCGACGGTCCGCCACCTCTTCCAGAAACGCCAGTGCCACTTCCTCGCAAAATCAATACGGTGAGTACTTCATGACATCTTCAGAGTGTGCCCGTTGGTTCTTCTTCAGGTTACTTGACAGATCTCTTGGTGAGCATGATCTCTCCATCTTCATAACAATCACAAGCTTTTTCCTCCAGCTTATGCAATGTACGGTTGCAGTGCACTCAGTGAAGTAATCTTTACCTTCTTTATGGTGAAACTCGTCCTTCCTTTTTTTTTTGGCATACTAGGCTAATCTAAGGGGCTCGTTTATAATGGAAAGCTGACATTAGTATGTTCTGCTTTGTTGTTCCAGACTGTGGCCTGCATTTTGTGGCCCTTTTTTGGAAAAGCAGGGTGCAGTGTGTGGTAACTGCAGATTGTGATGGCGTTCTACCTGCTTTCACCACAATTTCCTCCTGGCTTTTTTTTTCCTTGCTCAATTTAATTTAAGTAGCTTTGGAACGTTGAAGCCAGGGCAGTACTAAGCACATTTGTGAACCACATCACTCAGCTTTATAAATGTGCGAGAGTTTTCTTTTTGTTTATTTTAAGCCCATTTCCACCTTTGTAAGTAATTAGTAGGGCTGCACCGATACTGAGTATTTAGGTGAGTGCTCGTACTCGCCCAAATGCTCCGATACCTTCCCAGATACCGGAACTTCTGGGCAGAGGGATATTTCCTCTAACCAGCAGTTCCGTAAGGGAACATGGACCCAGGTTCCCGGGCAATCAGGAAGTCGGGTGGTGAGTAATGACCCACGTACCGCCTTCCTGATTGGCCAAACAGCCGACTCAATGCTGGATGGCCGGGGAGCTGACTTTCCAGCCAATCAGTATGGAGCCAGCTTCTCGGCCAACCAAGAAGCCGGGAGGAGGGTCATTACTCACCACCCAGCTTCCTGATTGGCCGGGAAGCCGGTTTCCCTGCCAATCACAATCAAGCCGGTCAAACCACATGGAGCCGGCTTCCTGGACAATCAGAAAGCTGGGCAGCATGTCATTACCTGCCGCCCAGCTTCCTGATTGCCCGGGAATACTGGCTCCATGCTGTTTGGCGGGCTCGATTGTGATTGGCCGGGAATCCGGCCGACTCCATATTGTGGTAATGTAGAGGTGCAGTGATGATGTATATGTGGGTAGATTTTCATGACTCCCATTGCTGACTTTTTAATATGGACTTTTTAGTAGGCCTGAGTCCTATAAATTCAAAATTCCCTCCACAGTACGCTCAGTCTAACACGGGGGTCAGATTGTCTTGTACAGGCTGAAAAGCAGCTGACCCCCCTCCCTGTGAAGCATTGTAACAAGATCACTGCACACCAGCTCTGCCTCTCCAGGTCACTCTGCCATTGCCATTATGAATATTAATGAATGGGGGAGAGAGCCCAGCTTCCACAGAGAAGCTTGTGCATGAGAGAAGCCTAGCATTGTGGGAATTGTAGTTTTCCATGCCCTACATTGTAGTTCTCACTGTGCACAGCAGCCTGTAATTTACACAAACTCTCTGCAGAGCACAGAGGCGGCCAAAAGGAGCCATGAGGAGATGAAGAGAAAAGCGAACCAAAAAGTAAGTTTCTGTGTCTTTATACAGGAATTGCATATGCCTGCTTCATCTAAACTCGGTGTACATTGCTGGCATATATATATATATATTATTTTTTTTTAAATGCCTCCGCAAAGGTGGAAATGGACTGTAAAGCAGCAGTATGACTGCAGTAAGACCTTATCGCTGCTTTTTACATGGAGCCCTAAGTTCTGAGTTAAGGAACTCTTTATTTCTTTAGAATTTCATGGGACTAACAGCCTACTGGTGAATTGGCACTGTGAAGGTTAGATGTGGCACATTTGGCTGCCTTCTGTACCAAACCTGCAAGTGCCCAATTCAGGGTAAAGCAATAGGTTTGCTTTCCTTACACAAAAACCTACCTCTTCCCTTCATTCCCAGCATCTTTCTTTTAGTCCATCACGGCTTTATTTGGTGGTTAGAGCCAAAGGTACCCTGGACCTCTGTGTCTGGAGAATTATGTGCCTCACTCCATGTGACAGCACTGTCATAGAGAGTCCATAGCCCTGTGTAATCTATGACTCCAGTGATTCATAGCCTGGGTGGACTGAGTGCTGGGTGGACTGAGTGCTGGGTGGACTGAGTGCTGGGTGGACTGAGTGCTGGGTGGACTGAGTGCTGGATCTGGAGAATTATGTGCCTCACTCCATGTGACAGCACTGTCATAGAGAGTCCATAGCCCTGTGTAATCTATGACTCCAGTGATTCATAGCCTGGGTGGACTGAGTGCTGGGTGGACTGAGTGCTGGGTGGACTGAGTGCTGGGTGGACTGAGTGCTGGGTGGACTGAGTGCTGGGTGGACTGAGTGCTGGGTGGACTGAGTGCTGCGTTTATACAATTTCTGAGTGTAGTAAGATCTTTCCATTCATTTTTATACCTGCTCTGTAAGTATCATGAGCTGGAATCTGATTGGGTACTGCGGAGAGTAACAAAAGTTGATGACTTCCCCTTTTTTAAGATGCCATTTGTGGAAGATGAAATGAATGTGGATATATGTGGCAGCCCCTCTGTACCTCTTGTATTGTAATGAAGGTGCTCGGTGTCCTGTCATACGCTTACATTAGATAATGGTCTTGTCTCATCCTCAGGGGAAACTCAAGCTGAAAAGGGTGAAGACGATATATGATTGCCAAGCAGACAATGATGACGAGTTGACGTTTGCAGAGGGAGAGGTGATCATAGTGACAGGTGAAGAGGACCAGGAGTGGTGGGTAAGTTGCATTAACTGTTTGGGATGCAAAGTAAAACATATTCTTTTGGCAGATCAGTAATACAAGGAAATGGTATGCGCGGCTGATATACATTCACTTGCACTGTTTTATCTATGAAAATATTTGACAATCTCAATACAAATTAGTAAACTAAACATGAGATTGTAGTCCATCACGGGAGAGGGCTTGGAGCGGTGACTACTTTACAACACACACAGGGACCATTGGGAACAAAAAGGAGTATCTAACTCCTCCTTTCCCTTCTCTATTAATTTCTTGCTGTTTTTGTAATTGGCAAAATTAATAAAAACAACAAATTAAATAGTAATAGTTAGAAAAATAGAAATAAAAAAAGAAAAGTGCACAATTGGGAAAAAACCCCCACCTTTATTACATTTGTAAATAATTTTGCAAACCTTTTTACAAGAATTGTTATTGTCATTTTAAAGAGGACAAATTACTTTCATCTACCGTAACAATCGTTTATTTATTTTTAATGAACACTGATGACGGTAGAGAAAAAGTTTTAGCTTTTTTTGTTCTGTATTTTTATCTATGAAGGGAATAATAAATACATTTATAAATAATTTTGCCAGACAGTGTTACCTAAAGAAAGCATTGTTTGTCCTAAGAAATTAAAAAAAAAAAAAACACAGGGGGGGGGGGGAATACTTTCGCAAGGCAATATATTAGCAAAATATATAGTGAGTAAATATCAGAGCAAAATAATGCCTGTTATAACCTAATAAAGGTTGTGTAGAACAGTAGGGAGAACTACTTGAGATCACAATAAGTGTCCTTTTTGTTTTATCGCTAGCATTATGAGAGATTATTTGGAACTTCATAGAACATAACAGAGTAGTATATATTGCTGTGTGTGTTTTTGTTACCATGGCTTACATGGCTGTATATAGTGTAAACCACACACATAATAGATCAAGCTACAACTTGACAGTTCTATATGGAGTGGGAAGCAAATCGTAGATCAAGTATATGCATGTCCTTAGTTACATGTACACTAAGGAATCAGTTTACTAAGCTACATGAGTTAATTCAAATGTGAGGACTGAGTGCTGGGTGGACTGAGTGCTGGGTGGACTGAGTGCTGGGTGGACTGAGTGCTGGGTGGACTGAGTGCTGGGTGGACTGAGTGCTGCGTTTATACAATTTCTGAGTGTAGTAAGATCTTTCCATTCATTTTTATACCTGCTCTGTAAGTATCATGAGCTGGAATCTGATTGGGTACTGCGGAGAGTAACAAAAGTTGATGACTTCCCCTTTTTTAAGATGCCATTTGTGGAAGATGAAATGAATGTGGATATATGTGGCAGCCCCTCTGTACCTCTTGTATTGTAATGAAGGTGCTCGGTGTCCTGTCATACGCTTACATTAGATAATGGTCTTGTCTCATCCTCAGGGGAAACTCAAGCTGAAAAGGGTGAAGACGATATATGATTGCCAAGCAGACAATGATGACGAGTTGACGTTTGCAGAGGGAGAGGTGATCATAGTGACAGGTGAAGAGGACCAGGAGTGGTGGGTAAGTTGCATTAACTGTTTGGGATGCAAAGTAAAACATATTCTTTTGGCAGATCAGTAATACAAGGAAATGGTATGCGCGGCTGATATACATTCACTTGCACTGTTTTATCTATGAAAATATTTGACAATCTCAATACAAATTAGTAAACTAAACATGAGATTGTAGTCCATCACGGGAGAGGGCTTGGAGCGGTGACTACTTTACAACACACACAGGGACCATTGGGAACAAAAAGGAGTATCTAACTCCTCCTTTCCCTTCTCTATTAATTTCTTGCTGTTTTTGTAATTGGCAAAATTAATAAAAACAACAAATTAAATAGTAATAGTTAGAAAAATAGAAATAAAAAAAGAAAAGTGCACAATTGGGAAAAAACCCCCACCTTTATTACATTTGTAAATAATTTTGCAAACCTTTTTACAAGAATTGTTATTGTCATTTTAAAGAGGACAAATTACTTTCATCTACCGTAACAATCGTTTATTTATTTTTAATGAACACTGATGACGGTAGAGAAAAAGTTTTAGCTTTTTTTGTTCTGTATTTTTATCTATGAAGGGAATAATAAATACATTTATAAATAATTTTGCCAGACAGTGTTACCTAAAGAAAGCATTGTTTGTCCTAAGAAATTAAAAAAAAAAAAAACACTGGGAGGTGTTTTACAGGAAAAGTCAACATTCACTTGTAACTTCAGCTGGTCCTATCTCTGGATCTAATGGTTGTGGCTTAGAGTGACATTAAAGTCAAAGATATTTTTCCCTGTTAATGTCAGCACTTACCTTAAATAATGTTTATCAAACCGATCTTCCTCTTCTTTCCTGATGTTTTCATCTGTCCCTCCAGCGCTGCGGCCGGTCTCCGATCCAGCGCTGACTCCTCTGTCCTTGCTGGCACTTCCTGTCCCACGGTGTCTGCATGCGGCTGCACGCCGTCCATAGACTTACCTTGTGTCTCTCCTCGTCTCCCGGACGAAAATGTGATCTGCGCATGCGCCCGCCCCAAGATGCTTTGTGGCCGCCCGAGAATTTTCACATTTTCGGACGGGAGCGTGCGGGGAAGACACAGGTAAGTATTAACCCTTTTCAAGCGGTTGTTTTTTTAACACTTTTTGCATATATCTGCTGCTTGCTAGCACTAGATACATGCAAAAACACTGGCGGGTTTAATAACACTTTAATATTTTCACCAATTTTATTTTAGGCATTTTTGTGACATGCTCATTTTAAATTTCACAAATTTGAAGGTTTACAAGAAACATTTTTTTCAAGTCACTTATTTTATTTTTTTTGTTTCTCCATAGATCGGCCACATTGAAGGACACCCGGATAGGAAAGGAGTCTTCCCAGTGTCTTTTGTACACATCTTGTCTGAATAGAACTTGTGATGTCACAGATCTACCATTGCCCAAGCCCAGGCTTGTAGCCAGCTTGCTGCTCTATGTCTGCTTCCCTGTACTGTATATAAGCTACCATCACCACTTCATCCAGTACCTTCCATTCTGTGTATTGTAAATGTGCTATCTTACTCCAAGTTTCGTCAGTATTACAGTAGCCGAACAAGCCCGCTCCCTCGGGCACTATTGAACCATTTCCTTAGCCTTCAGCAACTTTCACACCTTATTGTCAGACTGTGCCGTTCCAGCCCCTCGTGTCCAAACTATTTCTGCCCCCCACCCCTGTCCCTTGTTGGGTTTTAGTTACAGTTACCACACCAAGGGCAAAGGGAAAAACAATAAAACGGGCAACCCGCACCAACCTGTCACTTCACCCTCCGCAAGCACTCGAGCTGTGTTATTTATTGCAGAAAATAACATCAGCATAGTTCTCTCGACTTCTCAAGTATTGACCGTGTTGCTATGCTCTGTACTCATTCGTTTGGAACATTCGCCAACATCCTTATTGTCACTTTGCTACAAGTAGTTTAAAGGAGAGAAAAAAAAGATATATTTCTATCTAAAAGCTTCTTTTATTAGAAGTATATACATATATATATAAATACTATACATATATTAGAAATAACGACAAATCCGGTTGACTTCATCGGACTTTAATGACTGCTAAACAATATTAGTCTGTTTACATTATGCATGATTTCTAAAACCAACAAACAGCAACAACAACAAACAAACAAAAAAAGAATTCTGGAATACTTGAAACAGGAATATAACTGTAAGTCCTAATACTTTGTTCTGTAGCTGAAGAAAAAAAAAAAACCAGATGGAGGGGAATATTTTTCCAGTAGAGTGAATTTATTTGAAATAGACAGTATTACTTATTACTAACATGGATCAAATCAGGGAGGCGGTCAGCCTCACGGAAATAAATATGAACTCCTGTGTATAAAGAAATCTTTTGTTCTTTTATTTTTTATTTAAAGTGTACCCTAAATTATTCCTAGATGTTGAAATTGACTTTTGTGTATTGTCGGTCATCTAGAAAGTTATTGAATCGTAAACAAAAAGGTATTAAATTCCGATACTGGTGGGGTCTCTGATGTGTTCTAGTTTCCGTTTTTGTGGCGGGGTTTTTTTTGTGGGTTGTGGTTCCAATCATTTCATCATTTGAAGTATCGCAGGGTCCGGCCGCCCACGACTGATCAACATATTTCGTACAGAGAGTTTGGTGTCTGGTTTCTAGTGGTGACTGACTTGTTAGGAACGTGTAAATGGAAAAGAAAAAAAACTTGCTTTTCATTTTTATTTTTTAACACTTTTTGTCAGAATAACTAAAGTGTGTGAGATGTTGCTAGTTTTTGTTTCATTTTTTTTTTTTTTTTTTTTTTTTTCACCTTTTGCAAAAAATAAAGAAATGCATAATTAATAATATATAGAAAAAAATGCATTTCTTTAATATTTGTATTCAAGCCTGGAAAGCATTGCAATGGTGATCACGGCTGCAAAGCTCAGGCTTCTGCACATTCTCTCCCAGGCAGAGATTGTACTGAGGTACGGAGTTTCAGTTTAGACTGGGTTCACATCTAAGCGTATCGAATATGCGCGTTTGTCGCGCGTTTCGTGCCGCGCGTTTTTACTGCGATTCACGGTAAAAACCGCTCGACAAACGTGCGTTTCCGAGGGCTACCTGGCTGTATCCCAATGGATACGCGGCAAATACGCCCCAAAGAAGCTCCTGTACTTCTTTGGGTGTTTTGCAGCGCGTTCCTACGTGCTGTGAAACGCCCAGGTGGGAACCATGCCCATAGGCAATCATTGGTTTTCACATGTTGAGCATTTTAGAGAGCGTAGGAACGCACTGTAAAACGCCCAGGTGTGAACCAGGCCTCAGAGAGATGGGGGAAGGACAGCTGGACTTCAAACTGCATTAAATCACCTCATACAGCGTCCAGCCGCCCTCGCTCTAGGTAGAGCTGCCCATATTCCTGCATCTACCTAGAGCAAGGAGGACGGCTGGACGCCGTATGAGGTGATTTAATGCAGTTTGAAGTCCAGCCGTCCTTCCCCCATCTCTCCTAACTGAAACTCCGTCCCTCAGTACGAGCCCTGCCCGGGAGAGAATGTGCAGAAGCCTGATCTTTGCAGCCCTGATCGAATGATCACAATTGCAATGCTTTCCAGGCTTGAATGCAAATATTAAAGAAATGCATTATTTTATATATATATTATTAATTATGCATTTCTTTGCCTTTTGCAAAAGGTGAATTTATCCTTTAATCCTTGTAGTGGGTAAAGGTGCCCATACACTGTGCGATTATCGCGCGATAATCACCGGAAATCCCGCGATTGTATGATAATCGCAAAGTGTATTGAAGGCGTGCAACCGTTTTTACTGTACGGTCACAGGAGCATGTTCGAAAACCAGCCAGAAGTCTTACGATTTTCGGCTGGTTTGTGGCATGCTCGGGAGACAAATGCCGAACGTGCCGGTGTGCGCACGAGCACACTGCGCGTTCAGCATTGCGGTCATCGGAAAATGTTGGGAACCTGCCCGCAGTTCCAGTGCATTTCAGACCAGACAAAATGAGACATGCAGTATTTTCTGGTCTGGTCTGGAACGGACTGCGCCGGTGTGAACAGAGGCCACAAATAGCATAAGGATGCATTTTGGGCCCGGAAACAATCTCTGGTCTGGTCTGGAGATGATCTGGATGTGGTGTGAATGGGCCCTGAATGATCTGGTTGAGTATAACTTTTTTTTGTTTGTTGGCACCTAGACAAAAAGGAGCAGTTAACCCTTGTAGTGCAGGGGGTAGCCACACTGCAAGGGTTAAACATTTTCCCCCTGAAGTTCTTCTTTAAGCCGTGTTGTACATATCTACGTTTTTTTTATTTTATTGCATGTGAAGTTACATACGGGAGGTTTGCTGTCTCAAGAAATAATGCATATAAAATGAAAACATCACTCCATTTTTGTTCTCGGATTTTGTTTAACCTTTTACAACAGGAAACATTTGTATTATATTTTTCAATATTTTTTTATTTTGCTTTTTCTATGTTTAGTTTATATTATTTGTAAGCTATATTGCTCAGTCATATAATTACTGAACTTTTGGTATCTTTTAGTTAGGATTGTATAAAAATATCCGCATCGAATTTCACTTTTTTTATTACAATAATTGTAATGGTATACAAGACAATATATTGGCAGCTACATTTTTATTTCTCTCATTTCTTTGCACTTTTGTATTTTATTTGCATTTTACACATTAATATTTGAAGTGACACTAAACTCAGGAGTTAAACCTTAAAAATACAGTAAAGAACCTTCACTATGAACAACAATGTCTCTTATTATTTGTGTATCACTCGGCTGTAGATTCTCCAATCATCTCTGAATTGGAGCTGACACTGTCCTTCCTTCTGGAGGGTGGCTACTTTTGTTCCCCATGGTCCCTGTGTGTGTTGTAAAGTAGTCACCACTCCAAGCTCACTCCCGGGATGGACTACAATCTCAGTACAAATTAATAAACTAGACATGAGATTGTAGTCCATCACAGGAGTAATCTTGGAGCCGAGTGATACACAAATAGGATACAAATTTTTGGTAATAATTGGTGTACTTGAATGCATTTTTAAGATTTAACTCCTGAGTTTAGTGTCACTTTAAGGCCCATCATTTCTGCATGTAGAAAAATTTTCACGTATAGTTTCTGGTTTTTGGGGTTTTTTTACGCTAGGACTTAATTTTTAGAATGACGGCGTAAAACAGCCCAGAATTACCATTTTAGACTATTATTTATTAACAAATATAGTAGAGATATGCTGGATCTTTCAGCTGTGAAGTCTCCCTCACAAAAGGTCCAGAGTATGGTACAGTATTTACTGTTACAATTTGATTTTTTTTTTTTTTATTACTCATTCCATATTATAAATAAAATGTATAAAGTGACAACAAACAAAACCTGTTTTATATTTTTTTGTTAAATGCAGATCCATGATGCCCTAGGGGTTAAAGTGGAATGTAACATAATTATACAAGAACGCCATATACTTTCATTCATTGTTTTCAAATCATTTACAGGGACACTTTTGTTGCCATAATCTGTGTCGATGGGCTTTTGGTCGGTTTAATATGATTTCCATTTCAATAAAAGGAAAACCCATTTAAAGTGGGTCTGAATGAGCAGGGGCGTCCTGAGGCAGGCTGTCACCCAGAGCGGTAGCCATCCTGACACTGTCGTGCCCTCAGTCTGACTTTTTAGATGGGGTGACACCAAAATGACTGTCAGGCTGCACCCCCCTTGTGATGCCACTGTGAATGAGGTCAGTCGCACCATTCAGTGAATTCTCAATTCTCTCAGAAGCGTATCCAACTGGTGCCATTAAATAAAGGCAAAAGTCTGACCACACCGGCCCAAAGGTAATCCTATTCTGATCTTGAAGGACCAAAATTACTATATACCTAATCATATTTTTTAAAGTGTAAGTGTTCCACCGAAAGTAAAATGATACTCTTCTGAAAATAATTAAAACAACAAAAAAAAGACCTAATAGCTCAATCTGAGGAGGGTACTGAGCTGCCCAATAAATGCCCCCAATGCTAAAGCAACTCTTTCACCAAACGTAAAAATTAAAAACGCAGCCTGTAAAGGAAGAGTCATAATACTTACCTGTCCCGCCGCTGAATAACTTTGATCTGTGCTCTCTTACATTATAAAGAAGCTTCAGCATCCCCAGGCTTCTAATGCAGGAACGGCAGGTGGAAGCCAGGGACACAGACATCCGAAACACCCAGAAATGTGTTGGATGCTGAATATTGATAGGCTGATTAAGCTGCGCCAAGAGGATGAGGATCTGAGGGATAGCACGCAGTTAAGTCTTTGTTTGCCAGGGTGACTTTTTTTGCAACAGCAAAAAAAAAAGTAATGGCTTGGGGGTTAGTTTTTTATTTATTTTTTTATCATCCATTGTGGGACACAACTCTTAAGAATTCCAAGACTTAGGGCTATGCTGTTGCCTCTAGGAGAAATGGACACTAGGCAGGACGTTGTCTGCTGAGGAAGTCTGTCTGCCAGTTTTCTACTACTGTAATGTGCACCGCTGGAACCTGAAGTTCCGTCCAATACAAGATTGAATGTACTTTCGTTGCCTCCCTGGTGATTGTTGTGTGCCCATGACTGATTCTAAATAAACCAGCAGAAAAGGAGGATACTTAGTGAAACTTGGCAGGTGTGAGGTGGGAAGGGTAATGTCCTTAAAGTGACAGGCTTTTATTTGTCTACCTAGAGTCAATTTCTCCAAGAGGCGGCACCATCACCCTACTTCTCAGAATTCTTCAGAGCCAAGGACAAAATCTTATGTTTGCGAGATATACAGAGAATTATGTGTTTTCATGACGGCAAACATTTTTTTTTCATTTTACATGATCTTGTTCTGTTGAAACTTCATAGAGTCCTCTGAAAATGCTGGGAGGGGGAGAACGAGAACTCACTCCTCCAATTCATTCAGGGTATGGGAGATGTTATCGTCACCCATACTAGTATCTGTGCATCCCTAGTAGATTTTAACATTAGTTCTGCAAACCGCTGGCTTTTTTTTTTTACAACACTGGTGCTAAGAAGAACCTGATCAAATTGTGCAAGGAAGCCTGGACTGCCGTGTGGCTGGATATGAAAATACAAAATATTAATATTCCGCATGTTATATTTACATGTTATATTTACCAGAAAAAAGAAAAACAAATGGCATTCCTGACTAAAAACCATATATAAAGCCGCCATGCATTATTGTTAAGCATTGCTTG